TGATTTTACAGGTCTCTACAAACGCCATCGGCAATGATTGATGGGAACTATGAAAACGCCCCTATCAAGCGGAGCTGCGCAAAACTCGGCCGGAATTTGGCCAGATTCTTGACCAGGAGGATGGGCTAGCAAGGTGGGGGGAGCCTACAATATTAAAAAAAAGCAGATGAATGCAACGAACCTTGCTTTGTGCTGCATGATGCTCAAGATCGGGACGAGAAGGTAGCAGTTGTGTTCCTTCTTTGGGATATTCCGCTCTCATCTCATTCTTCAATGAAAAAAAATGTCTACAACGTTTATTCAAGGGTTGCCCAAAATGAAAACCTACCATTCGCTCCTGTCCACCGCACACTGCACCCCAGGGGAACGGGTTTTCCTTTGAAGCATCCCAGTAGAACATCATATAGAAGTTGCACATTTCATTTATTCCCATACTTCTGTAAAAACTGAGTTGTAACAGCGATTTTCGTCAAACTATAACAGGATCCACGATTCCCTCTGTACATCAAACAGGTTCCGAACAAAACAACTTTGAACTATTTTGAGGAGTCCATGACTGACAGTATTCAAAGCTGTTCAATACGTCTTGTCTATGATTTAGGCGGTTCCGTGCCGAATTCCACTATCGCATGAAAAAGCAGAAGAATCACAGCTGCTTGAAAAACTTTTTTCCTTTGCCTTTTGACCAAAAACCGGCCTGATATCAAAAAGTACGATAACTTTTCTAACTTTTGTCCGGCATCTATTTGCCTGTGAGCTGGCATTTGTAAGAAGAAGATTTCTGAAGCAAGTGGTGCCGACTGATTGTCCCCCTTTCATTCTGATACCGTTCCGCGTTGCGTTGTAGAATCATTTCGTTCTCATCAACTTCATTCGATAAATGTCCGAACTTCCGCGCAGAAAAGGGCAACGAAAGCGATGAAGGCTCCGACAATGTAAACACCAGCAAGTCTGACACATAGCAGCGCGCGCTCCTATTCAGATCTTCCCACGCGGCTCGGACAACTTAAACTTCTAATGGGATCTATAAAGTACTGGAGATTTCACTGACAGGACCATTAAAGGCACAGCCCACGACCATCTATTATTAAGCTTTTCGGGACAGCAGCGAACAACCCTGTACAACTTAGACGTCAGAAAGTTTAAGGTAGCGGCGGTAGGGCACAAGGTTGCTCAAGCGACTCCGCTCATGTTGACAGATGTCTTATCTGCTGGCTTGCTCGTTTGCATGCTCTCGTTGCTGCTTGGCCCAATAACCACACTAATTTT